TGCAAGATTGTTGCATAGATACACACATGGCAGTGTGATTTGCTGCCTTCCTCCCCTTCACCTATATCTGGCATATCTCCCCATGCTATCTCTCCCCAACTCCCCACCCCCTGTTGTCCCTCCCCATATTCCCCCAACAGACCCCAGTGTATGCTGCTCCCCTCCCTGTGTCCATGTGTTCTCATTGTTCAACACCCACCTATGACTGAGAACATGCGGTATTTGATTTTCTGTTCTTGTGTCAGTTTGCTGAGAATGATGGTTTCCAGGTTCATCCAAGTCCCTAAAAAGGACACAAACTCATCATTTTTTATGCCTGCATAATATTCCATGGTGTATATGTGCCACATTTTCCCTATCCAGTCTATCGTCGATGGGCATTTGAGTTGGTTCCAGGTCTTTGCTATTGTAAACAGTGCTGCAATGAATATTCAGATGCATGTGTCCTTATAATAGAACGATTTATAATCCTTTGGATATATACCCAGTAACGAGATTGATGGGTCAAATGGAATTCCTGTTTCTAGGTTCTTGAGGAATCACCACACTGTCTTCCACAATGGTTGAACTAACTTACACTCCCACCAACAGTGTAAAAGTGTTCCTATTTCTCCACATCTTCTCCAGCATCTGTTGTCTCCAGATATTTTAATGATCGTCATTCTAACTGGCATGAGGTGGTATCTCAATGTAGTTTTCATTTGCATTTCTCTAATGACCAGTGATGATGAGCATTTTTTCATATATTTGTTGGCCTCATGTATGTCTTCTTTTGTAAAGTGTCTGTTCATATCCTTTGCCCACTTTTGAATGGGCTTGTTAGTTTTTTTCTTGTAAATCTGTTTTAGTTCTTTGTAAATTATGGATATCAGCCCTTTGTCAGAGGGGTAAACTGCAAAAATTTTTTTCCCATTCTGTTGGTTGCCGATTCACTCTAATGACTGTTTCTTTTGCTGTGCAGAAGCTGTGGAGTTTGATTAGGTCCCATTTGTCTATTTTGGCTTTTGTTGCCAATGCTTTTGGTGTTTTGGTCATGAAGTCCTTGCCTATGCCTATGTCCTGAATGGTTTTGCCTAGATTTTCTTCTAGGGTTTTTATGGTGTTAGGTCTTATGTTAAAGTCTTTAATCCATCTGGAGTTAATTTTAGTGTAAGGTGTCAGGAAGGGGTCCAGTTTCTGCTTTCTGCACATGGCTAACCAACTTCCCCAACACCATTTATTGAACAGGGAATCCTTTCCCCATTGCTTGTTTTTGTCTGGTTTGTCAAAGATCAGATGATTGTAGATATGTTGCGTTGCCTCCGAGACCTCTGTTCTGTTCCATTGGTCTATATCTCTGTTTTGGTAGCAGTACCATGCTGTTTTGATTACTGTAGCCCTGTAGTATAATTTGAAGTCTGGTAGTGTGATGCCTCCCCCTTTGTTCTTTTTGCTTAGAATTGACTTGGCTATGCGGGCTCTCTTTTGGTTCCATATGAGGTTTAAGGTGGTTTTTCCAGTTCTGTGAAGAAGGTCATTGGCAGCTTCATGGGGATAGCATTGAATCTGTAAATTACTTTGGACAGTATGGCCATTTTCACAATATTGATTCTTCCTAACCATGAACATGCAATGTTTCTCCATCTGTTTGTGTCCTCTCTTATTTCGTTGAGCAGTGGCTTGTAGTTCTCCTTGAAGAGGTCCTTTACATTCCTTGTTAGTTGTATTCCTAGGTATTTTATTCTCTTTGTGGCAATTGTGAACAGAAATTTGTTCTTGATTTGGCTCCCTTTAAGTCTGTTATTGGTGTATAAGAATGCATGTGATTTTTGCACATTGATTTTGTATCCTGAGACTTTGCTGAACTTGCTTATCAGTTTCAGGAGATTTGGAGCTGAGACGATGGGGTCTTCTAGATATACAATCATGTCATCTGCAAATAGAGACAATTTGACTTCCTCCTTTCCTATTTGAATGCCCTTTATTTCTTTTTCTTGCCTGATTGCTCTGGCTAGAACTTCTAATACTATATTGAAAAGCAGTGGTGAGAGAGGGCATCCTTGTCTGGTGCCACATTTCCAGGGGAATGCTTTCACTTTTTGCCCATTCAGTATGATATTGGCTGTTGGTTTGTCATAAATAGCTTTTATTATTTTGAGATACGTTCCATCGATACCTAGCTTATTGAGGGTTTTTAGCATAAAGGGCTGTTGAATTTTGTCAAAGGCCTTCTCTGCATCAATTGAGATAATCATGTGGTTTTTGTCTTTGGTTCTGTTTATGTGGTGAATTACGTTTATAGACTTGCGTATGTTGAACCAGCCTTGCATCCCCGGGATGAAGCCTACTTGATCATGGTGGATAAGCTTTTTGATGTGCTGTTGCAATCGGCTTGTCAGTATTTTATTGAAGATTTTTGCATCTATGTTCATCATGGATATTGGCCTGAAGTTTTCTTTTCTTTTTGAGTCTCTGCCGGGTTTTGGAATCAGGATGATGTTGGTCTCATAAAATGATTTGGGAAGAATTCCCTCTTTTTGTATTGTTTGGAATAGTTTCAGAAGAAATGGTACCAGCTCCTCTTTGTATGTCTGGTAGAATTCAGCTGTGAACCCATCTGGACCTGGGCTTTTTTTGGGTGGTAAGCTCTTAATTGCTGCCTCAACTTCAGACCTTGTTATGGGTCTGTTCAGGGTTTCGGCTTCTTCCTGGTTTAGGCTTGGCAGGAGGCAAGTGTCCAGGAATTTATCCATTTCTTCCAGGTTTATTAGTTTGTGTGCATAGAGTTGTTTGTAATAATCTCTGATGATGGTTTGAATTTCTGTGGAATCTGTGGTGATATCCCCTTTATCGTTTTTTATTGCATCAGTTTGGTTATTCTCTCTTTTCTTTTTTATTAATCTGGCTAGTGGTCTGTCTATTTTGTTGATCTTTTCAAAAAACCAGCTCCTGGATTTATTGATTTTTTGAAGGGTTTTTTGTGTCTCTATCTCCTTCAGTTCTGCTCTGATCTTAGCTATTTCTTGTCTTCTGCTAGACTTTGAGTTTTTTGATCTTGCTCCTCTAGCTCTTTCAGTTTTGACGATGGGGTGTCAATTATTGATCTCTCCTTGCTTCTCATGTGGGCACTTATTGCTATATATTTTCCTCTAGAGACTGCTTTAAATGTGTCCCAGAGATTTTGGTATGTTGTGTCTTCATTCTCGTTCGTTTCGAAGAAAATCTTTATTTCTGCCTTCATTTCATTGTTTATCCAGTCAACATTGAAGAGCAAGTTGTTCAGTTTCCATGAAGCTGTGCGGTTCTGAGTTAGTTTTTGAATTCTGAGTTCTAACTTGATTGCACTGTGGTCTGAGAGACTGTTTGTTACGATTTCCGTTCTTTTGCATTTGCTGAGGAGTGATTTACTCCCAATTATGTGGTCAATTTTAGAGTAGGTGTGATGTGGTGCTGAGAAGAATGTATATTCTGTGGATTTGGGGTGGAGAGTTGTGTAAATGTCTATTAGGTTTGCTTGGTCCAGGTCTGAGTTCAAGTCCTGGATATCCTTGTGAATTTTCTGTCTGGTTGATCTGTCTAATGTTGACAATGGGGTGTTAAAGTCTCCCACTATTATTGTGTCGGAGTCTAAGTCCCTTTGTAAGTCATTAAGAACTTGCCTTATGTATCTGGGTGCTCCTGTATTGGGTGCGTATATATTTAGGATCGTTAGCTCTTCTTGTTGCATTGATCCTTTTACCATTATGTAATGTCCCTCTTTGTCTCTTATGATCTTTGTTGCTTTAAAGTCTAATTTATCAGAGATGAGAATTGCAACTCCTGCTTTTTTTTGCTCTCCATTTGCTTGGCAAATCTTCCTCCATCCCTTTATTTTGAGCCTTTGTGTATCCTTGCATGTGGGATGGGTTTCCGGGATACAGCACCCTGATGGGTTTTGGCTTTTTATCCAATTTGTCAGTCTGTGTCTTTTGATTGGGGCGTTTAGTCTATTTACATTTAGGGTTAATATTGCTATGTGTGAATTTGATACTGCCATTTTGATGCTAGCTGGTATCTGGTGAACCTGATGATTATGTGCCTTGGGGTTGCTCTTCTTGTCGAATATCTTTGTGGTGTTCTCTGTATTTCCTGGACTTGAATATTGGCCTGCCTTGCTAGGTTGGAGAAGTTTTCCTGGATAATATCCTGAAGAGTATTTTCCAGTTTGGATTCATTCTCTTTGTCACATTCAGGTATACCTATCAAACGTAGATTAGGTCTTTTCACATATTCCTACATTTCTTGAAGACTTTGTTCATTCCTTTTTGCCCTTTTTTCTCTATTCTTGCCTTCTCATTTCATTTCATTGAGTTGATCTTCGACCTCTGATATCCTTTCTTCTGCTTGGTCAATTCAGCTGTTGAAACTTGTGCATGCTTCACGAAGTTCTCATGTTGTGTTTTTCAGCTCCATCAGTTCACTTATATTCCTCTCTATGTTGTCCATTCTCATTAACATTTTGTCAAATGTTTTTTAAGGTTCTTAGTTTCTTTGCATTGGGTTAGAACATGTTCTTTTAGCTCACAGAAGTTTCTTGTTACCCACCTTCTGAAGTCTAATTCTGTCATTTCATCACACTCATTCTCCATCCAGCCTTGCTCCCTTGCTGATGAGGAGTTGTGATCCCTTGTACGAGGAGAGGTGTCCTGGTTTCAGGTGTTTTCATCCTTTTAGCTCTGGTTTCTTCCCATCTTTGTGGATTTATCCACCTGTGGTCTTTGTAGTTGCTGACTTTCAGATTGGGTCTCTGGGTCAACTTCCAGTTTGTGGATGATGAAGTTATTTCTGTTAGTTAGTTTTCCTTGTAACAGTCTGGTCCCTCTGCTGTAGGGCTGCTGAGGTCCACTACAGGCCCTGCTTGCCTGGGGATCACCTCCAGTGGCTGCAGAACAGTAAGGGTTGCTACCAGTTTCTTCTTCTGCTATCTTTGTCCCAGAGATCAGCCAAATGTCTGTCTGATCTCTCCTTTATGAGGTGACTCTTTGGACATATGGGGGTCAGGGAACTGCTTGAGGAGACAATCTGTCCTTTATTGGAGCTCAAGTGCTGAGCTGTGAGCTCTGTTGTTCATTCATTGCTGGGCAGGCACGTTTAGCACTGCTGCAGCAGAACTGGTAAACTCCTTTTTTTCCCCCAGGTGCTCTGTCCCAGGGGTTTAGGGCTTTATTTAGTATCTTCTGTTGTGCTGCTGCCTTTATTTTTTTTTCAGGGCTGCCCTGCCCAGTGAGGAGGCAGCCTAGTCACTGTCTGCCTGTAGAGGCTTTGCTAAGCTGCTGTGGGCTCTGCCCAGCTGCTGTGTGAACTTTCATGCTCTCCTGTTTATATGAGTGTAGTTAGAACTGCTTCGGCAATGGTGGCCCGCCTCTGTAATGGCAGACTCTCTCTGTAACGGCAGGTTGCCTTGGCAATGGTAGGTTGCCTCAGCAATGGCAAACTACCTCCGTAGTGTTGGAGTGTCTCCGTAATGGCGGGCACCCCTCTCCCACAGAACTGGACCATCCTGGGTTCAGCTGTGCTTGCTGTGAAACTCTCAACTCAGATCGTTTTCAATTGCTTTTTTTTTTTTTTTTTGTGGGAGTGGGTCCAGCTGAGCCTTATCACCTCCTGACTCCCTGACTCAGAGTCTGTTTTTTTTTTTTTTTTTTTTTTTTTTTCAGTTGAATGGTCAACTCTCTCCCAGGTGTTCCAGTCACATGTTGAAAGGGCGCCGGGATCTCTGTGATTTCCTATGGGGCGACTCGCTGTGCCAGCTGAAACAGCGGTGCTGAGATTCGTGGCAGTATTTTTGGCCAGGAATCTCCTGGCCTGGCTCCCTGTTTCAGTTCCTTTTAAATCAGATGAGTGGGCGATCTGCCTTCCCAGGTCTCCAATCGCCAGCTAAAAGGGCACCTGGACCAGTGTATTTTGTACGGAGAACCCCCGCACTAGGGTGCTGGCAAAGCAGTCATGCCGTGCTGACTTCTCAAGAGTCTCTCCTGCATTTTTTTGCTCTCCACTTGCTTGGTAAATCTTCCTCCATCCCTTTATTTTGGTCCTTTGTGTATCCTTGCATGTGAGACGGGTTTCCTGGGTACAGTACACTGATCGGTTTTGGCTTTTTATCCAATTTGCCACTCTGTTTCTTTTGATTGTGGCATTTGGTCCATTTACATTTAATGGGGTTAATATTGTTATGTGTGAATTTGATCTTGCCATTTTGATGCTAGCTGACTATTTTGCCCATTAGTTGAATCAGTTTCTTCATTGTGTCGATGGTCTTTATCATTTGGTATGTTTTTGAAGTGGCTGGTATTGGTTGTTCCTTTCTATGTTTCCTGCTTCTTTCAGGAGCTCTTGTAAAGCAGGCCTTGTGGTGATGAACTCTCTCACTAATTGCTTTTTGTAAAGGAATTTTATTTCTCCTTCACTTAGCAGGCCTAGTTTGGCTGAATATGAAATTCTAGGTTCAAAGTTCTTTTCTTTAAGGATGTTGAATGTTGGTCCCCACTCTCTTCTGGCTTGTAGGGTTTCTGCTGAGAGATCTGCTGTGAGTCTGATGGACTTCCCTTTGGGGGTAACCCGACCTTTCTTTCTGGCTGCCCTTAGCATTTTCTCCTCCATTTCAACCCTGGTGAATCTGATGATTATGTGCCTTGGGGTTGCTCTTCTTGAGGAATATCTTTGTGGTGTTCTCTGTATTTCCTGGACTTGAATATTGGCCTGCCTTACTAGGTTGGGGAAGTTTTCCTAGATAATATCCTCAAGAGTATTTTCCAGCTTGGATTCATTCTCTTCGTCACATTCAGGTATACCTATGAAACATAGATTAGGTCTTTTCACATAGTCCCATAGTTCTTGGAGACTTTGTTCATTCCTTTCTACCCTTTTTTCTCTAATCTTGCCATTTCATTTTATTTCATTGATTTGATCTTCGACCTCTGATATCCTTTCTTCTGTTTGGTCAATTTGGCTGTTGAAACTTGTGTACACTTCATGAAGTTCTCCTGTTGTGTTTTTCAGCTCCATCAATTCACTTATATTCCTCTCTAAGTTGTTGATTCTCATTAGCCTTTCGTCAAATGTGTTTTCAAGCTTCTTAGTTTCTTTGCCTTGTGGTAGAACATGTTCTTTTAGCTCAGAGAATTTTCTTATTACCCACCTTCTGTAGCCTGTTTCTGTGAATTCATCACACTAATTCTCTATCCAACCTTGTTCCTTTGCTGGTGAGGAATGTTATCCTTTGTAGGAGGAGAGGCATTCTGGTTTTGGGTGTTTTCATCCTTTTTGCACTGGTTTCTTCCCATCTTTGTGGATTTATTCACCTGTTCATCTTTGCAGTTGTTGGCTTTCAGATTGGGTCTCTGTGTACGTCTAGTTTGTTGATGATGAAGTTATTTCTGTTTGTTAGTTTTCCTTCTAACAGTCAGACCCCTCTGCTGTAGGACTGCTGAGGTCCACTCCAGGCCCTGCTTGTCTGGGGATCACCTGCAGTAGCTACAGAACAGTAAAGGTTGCTGCCAGTTTCTTCTTTTGCTATCTTTGTCACTGAAGGATACCCCCCTGATGTCAGTCTGAGCTCTCTTTTATGAGGCGACTCTTTGAATATATGGGGTTTAGGGAGCTGCTTGAGGAGACAGTCTGTCTTTCTTTTAGAGGAGCTCCAGTGGTAAGCTGTGAGCTCCATTTTGTTGGCAGGTATGTTTTAGTCTGCTGCAGCAAAACTCATAAACCTCTATTTTTTTTCCCCAGGTGCTCTGTCCTGGGGAGTTAGGGCTTTATGTATAAGTTTCTGTTGTGCTGCTGCCTTTTTTCAGAACTTTTCTACCCAGCGAGGAGGCATCCTAGTCACTGTCTGCCTGCTAGGCTTTGGTGAGCTGCTGTGAGCTTCTCCCATCTACCATATGAACTTCTCTGCAGTATTGTTTATATGGGCATAGTTTGGGCTGCCTCTGCAATGGCAGCCCACCTGTGTAATGGCAGACTCTCTCTGTAATGGCCGGCTGCCTCAGCAATGGTGGGCTGCCTCAGCAATGGCGGGCTGCCTCAGCAATGGCGGACTACTTCTCTAATGGTGGACTGCCTCAGTAATGGCAGATGCCCCAACCCCACAGAGCTGGACCATCCCTGGTTCAGCTGTGTTTGCTGTGAAACTCTCAATCCAGAGCGTTTCAGATTGCTCTTTTTCGTGGGGATGGGACCAGTCAAGCCTGATCTGCTGACTCCCTGCCTCAGATCCCTTTTGTTTTTCAGTTGTATGGGCGACCCTGTCTCCCAGATGTTACAGTTGCCTGTTGAAAAGGCACTGATATCTGTATGATTAGCACTGTGCTGGCTGAAACAGCCCTGCTGAGATTCATGGCACTTTTTTGCCTGGGAATCTCCTGGCTTGGCTCCCTGTTTTAGTTCCTTTTTTAAATTAGTTGAGTGGGTGACTCTGTCTCCCAGAAGCCCCAATTGCCAGCTAAAAGGGTGCCCAGACCCATGTATTTTGTGCAGAGACCCGCCATACCAGGGTGCTAGCCAAAACAGCTGTGCAGGCCAAAACAGCCACGCTGGCCAATACAGCTGCACTGGCGACCCATGGGGCTCCTCCACCTGGGAATCTCCTGGTCTGTTGGCAATAAAAATTCATCTGGAAATGCAGTGTCCACTCACCCTCTGGGCTTTCACTGGGAGCTGCAATCCTGAGCTGCTCCTAATCGGCCATCTTGGATCAGTCCCTGAATTTAAATTATATATGATTTCTCTTGAGTTTAAGCCTCATCTTTATCATGTAAGAACTAAGTGATCCTGAGAAACCACAATTAATTTCTTGAAAGCATTTTCAAAAAGCTAATATACGTGAAAATAACCTAACCATAAAGCATGCTAAAATGAGACTTTTTATACATATATAATACTCATGAGATATTTTATGAACATGTCAAAAAGGTTTATGTAAAAGATAGCAGTTTAAAGAAACTTTTTATTCAGACATGTATATCTTGATTTTTATTGATTTGTGCTTCCTGCTTACTTTTATAGAGAAGAAGACAAGGAACAACAGTTAAGAAATATATGGCTTTAAAAATATATATTTATTATACTTTAATTCTGGGGCACATGTGCAGATCATGCTGGCTTGTTAGATAGGTATACATGTGCCATGGTGGTGGTTTGCTGCATCTATCTCCCCATCATCTGCATTAAGTCTTTCTTCTAATGCTATCCCTCCCTGATTCCCCCACTCCTTGCTATTCCTCCCCTAGTCCCCTACCCCCCAGGCCCCAGTGTGTGATGTTCCCCTCCCTGTGTCCATGTGTTCTCATTGTTCAACATCCACTTATGAGTGAGAACATGCGGTGTTGGACTTTTTTTGTGTCTGTTTGCTGAGAACAATGGTTTCCAGTTTCATCTATGTCCCTCCAAAGGACATGGAATGTATTGTTTTTAATGGCACCTTCAGAATCTGTATCATTCATTAAGAAAATATAATTCATTTTTTTTTATCAGGCAGTTTTAGGTTCACAGCAAAAATGAGCAGAAATTTCATAGTTTCCATGTATCCTTTGTCCCTCCACTGATACAGCTTTTCCCACTATCAACATCCCATATCAGAGTGGCATATTTGTTACAATCCATGAGCCTACATTGATGCTTTATTATTACTTGAAGTCTGTGGTTTACATCAAGTTTCAGTTCTGGTATTGTACATTCTATGGATTTGGACTAAGGTATAATGACTGACATCTACCATTATCATGCAGAATAGTTTCATGGCCCTAAAAATTTTCTGTGCTCTGCCTATTCCTCCCTCCCTCTTCTCTAACCTCTGGCAACCACTGATCTGTTTACTATCTTCATAGTTTTGTCTTTTTAAAAATTTCATATAACGAAAATCATACAGTATGTAGGCTTCCCAGACTGCCTTCTTTTACCTAGTAATGTGCATTTAAAACTCCATCATGTCTTCTCATGGTTTGATAGCTCATTTTTTCTTAAGCAGGGAATAATGTTCAATTGTCTGGGTGTACTACAGCTTATTTATCCATTAACCTAATGAAAAACATTTTGCCTACTTCCAAGTTTTAGTCATTACGAATAAAGTTGTTATAAACATTCCTTTGCAGACTTTTGTGTGGACACAAGTTTTCAACTCACTTGCATAAGGAGTGTGGCTTCCAGAATGTATGGTGAGAGTTCATTTAGTTT